AACAGGACGGCGTAAAGGCCGAGGAGACAGATCCAGAGCGTCTCCGTCAAAGACAAATCCCCGAGTCGTGTCTTCAGACACAGTTTTATACCAGAGCTCCAAAAGACCGATCGTCTTTATGTACACTCACTGATAAACAGAGATAAAGTAGAAGTATTTACCTCCTTGTTCGTCGAGCATAACCAGAGCTCTGATGCCGGAGTCTTTACTCTGGAGGACGGAGCAGATACAGACCAGTGGTTATGATTCATATTTATATTTGATACACAGAAAATACAACTTGCAAAGTGTCCTTGAACACAACCTCATCACGTGTCGATTCGTGTAACCCTGACAAGAACATTTCAAATTGAGTTCTGAGCTGCCTGGACGACAGACAACAGAAATACTTATTGACAAGAAAACTGTCTCATTCCTCTGTGTCTCTGTCCTCACACACATTAACCCCCGACGTGTCTAAGTCCCCGAATCACATAAAGTCCATCACATCTCAGCGTCTGTCTGATTTAGCTTCGTTTAGTGAGACGTCTTCAGGGCATTTCCAACCAGCGCAGGACGATAATGTAGAGATGACTATGCTTCATATCTGTATGTATACGTGTGTGTGTGTGTGTGTGTGTGTGTGTGTGTGTGTGTGTGTGTGTGTGTGTACCTCCTCCACCAGCATCATCATCCTCCTTGTGCTTTCCAGGGACTGAAATATATATAAATCCATAAACTGTTAATAGCAATACATTTAATATACAACATCAAATTATTTTCACACAAAGTGTAAAAAACTCCTCAACATGAACTTAATTCACTTTAATCCTCATATGAGGTCACTGTGACCTTTGACCTCTGACATCTAGTCAGTTCCTCTGTCGAAAGCTTCTGTTTAAGAAACCACATCTGGCCAAAAGGTTTTTATTGGTGATTTCTTCTTCTTTGTTTTGTCCAGATGTTGACGGCCTAACCTGTCCCGACACTCATAGCCAATAGAATCTTATCTTCCTGCTCGCAGCGCCTCAGTTTCCATGACGACAAATATGATGCACCAGGAAAAGAAAGTTACCACATGTGACGATCAATGTTTTTAATGGTGTCACACAGAGAGCCTGTGTGCGTCTGTGTGTGTGTGTGTGTGTGTGTGTGTGTGTGTGTGTGTGTGTGTGT